TATCTGCATGATACAAAGGTATTAGCAGCATATAAAAGTATCTTTACGATGTAAAAGTATCAAGTTACAGAGTACCTTCTATATATATCTTCTATATATATCTTCTATATATATCTTCTATAATCTATAATATTCAAGCTGGAAAAGGATCTGCCAGATAGAAAACGATCTTTAGGGCGCGAATGTCTCTTCTACATACAAATGAATATTCAAGACACGATCGTATTTTTAACACACCAAAATGTCTATAGGATATCCAAGTATATTCAAGATACAAAAGCATAGCATCCCAAAAGCATCCAAATATCGCTAAGATAAAAGCGTACCTATAGTGTTTATAGTTTCTCAGATTCTATAGAGATTCTATAGAGAAATCAAGCATACTCAAGATACAAACCTATCCACAAATGAATCTGTCGAGTATGCAGAGAGTATCTTTAGGATACCCTTTTCAGGCTATGCAGCAAATGTATTTGCTATGCAGATAAATATTTTGTGCTTCAGCTAGGTAAGAGATTTCATATAATGGAAAAATTCAAACTTCATTGAAATAGAAAATTTGATAGAGATTTCTTTAAGCTTTTCTCTCAAGTGCCTGTAAATCCTGCTCGAGAAAAAAAAAGCAACGGAAAGAAACGAAAAGTAAGCATGAAATCTGGAATTTCCGAGCCACTGAGCTGTACTCCTCGTCCTCCTGCCGACAGGATGAAGGGCTGCAGCCAGACAGGACAAAGCAAAAAAAGCAGAGCAAAATTATATATATTCGTATAGCGAACGTAAACTAAATAATTACAAGGCTCGACGGCAGCGCAAACAAAAACAAGGTGACGCAAGACGGACAGCGCACAAATGCCGGCGCGACACCCATGGCTCGGGGTATGTGAAAAGGACCCATGCGAGAGAGAGAGAGAGAGAGAGAGAGAGAGAGAGAAAAAACAACTAAACCAAATTGAAATTGAAATCGAAATTGAAAATGAAAATCTACGTGTAATTGCAGCGACTACAAAGCAGAAGGAATGCTCAAACAAAAAAGTAGAGCATGTCCTTGCCGTGTGTCCTTGTTGTGAGGGGTGAGCAGCCTTAAAAAAATAGCTGCTTTCTGCCGACACTTTTTTGTGGGTTGTACCCTTTCTGGCCTTGGGAAAGTCGCGGCTGCGCTTTCTTTTTCTTTTCTCCCTCTCCCTCTCCCTCTTCTTCTCCTTCTCCTTTTCAATTTCACATTCCTTTTCTTTGCTTGATTAGATTTGATTTGTGTTATTTGTGGCATTTCGCTACTCGAAGGGCTCGGCGCTCTGCCCAGCTGGGCCTCGTCCTTCGGCAGGCTACGTTTAATTTCTAAATTATTGTTACGCCGCTGTGCGCTGGGCGTGGCACTGGATCGCTTCGTATTTTTGTTTTGATCAGTGCCAAATCACAGAAATCAACCAGCACCAGTGTTGGCAAGCGCCTCGCGACTGTGCGCAACACTGCTTTGCGGCGCTGCCCCTCGCGAGCTAATGAGGCAATTTAAATGCTAATTCTCATACTTTAAGCGCACTCGACAAAAATATCAAATTCTAATCCAAAACATGTCGCTAAACGGGGGTTGGGGGTGTCCTGCTACTGTTCATCTCTGTCTCTCTCTCTCTCTCTCTGTTTGTGCCTGCAGCATCAGGGTTGGGCTTACAGCCATAAATATGTATATGAATATGAATATGAATATGAAAGCGAATTTGAATATTCAAATGGGAAAAAGTTGACTAATACGATTTAAAGTTCAATGCCCAAAAAGCAACAAAAAGTTACGTGCAATTGGCCTGAGAGAATCGCATAGAAGAGCGCATCATTACAGATGCATTAACTGATAATTGTTTCTGTTTGGATTAAGACTGCTTAGCTAAGAGTAGCACGAGCTATTAGCTGAGAGCTGACTCAGCCTACTCGAGCAATTCGATGAGAACATTAAACCTTTGCTCGTAGAAGTATCTATATGTGATTTGTGTTAGTAAATGTATCTTTATCTAGTATTTGCTATGCACCCAAGTCAGAAGAATCTATAAGGTACAAGAGCAAATAGCCGAGAGATACAAGAGTATCTGTGAAGCTACGTTTCGTATTGGGAAGTTGCAAAAGTAGTTACTAATGAGGAGGACCTTTAAGTAAGTATCTTTCAGATACAAATATATTTGCAACTCCATAAGATACAAAAGTATCTTTTACATAGTCCAACTGCAATTGCCACAAGATATAAAGAGAGTGTTCTATGATAGATTGGCGTATCTTTGATATGCGAAAGTATCTTTCAGATGCAACAAATGTCAGCGAGAGGGAACAAGGCTTAGAATCAAAAGTATCTTTAGGATGTCTTGCAATATGAACTGTTAGGTACGCATGCCAGTGGCATCTGTGAGATACAAATGTATCTCTTTGCACATGCGGAGTTGGCCCTACGCAAATACAGGGTATGCATGAGCGCATTGTTGACTCGGCCATTGAATTCAACTCAGCTGAATTCAATTGAATTGAACTGTGAATAGAAGCGAATAGAGCTTTGCCTCCCCCTTTTGCAGGACTTGCTCAGTGACGGATGTTTTCAAACATTTTCCGAGCATGTCAGCGTGCGCTCATCTCTGCACTTTTTTGTCTATTTGTCTGTTTGTTTTTTATATTTTTGAATATTTGTGTTGGCAGCGTTTGGTCAGCGACAGCAACAGCAACAACAATAGAAACGAGAATGCGCTGCCTAAACAAACAAAAGCTGCGCGGCTGCGCGGCTGCACGGCTGCTGCGAGCGCGTGCGCAACTTCAACTTCAACCTGAAACAAAAGGGAAAGTGGAAAGTGGAAAGCGGAAAAACTGACCGCACGCGAGGTCAGCAGCTGACTTTGCATAGAGGCAAAAGGCTTTTGGCCTCTGCTCAGCGCACAAATTCAATTTCATATTTTGTTTACTTTGATAAATGGGCGGGGCACGCTAAGCCGCGACAATGGGCGCCGATTAAAGTCATAATTTCTGGGATTAAGTTTTCAGCTTTCAGTTTCAGTTTTTTTGCTTTTGGAAGCAACCAACCGAGCAGCAGCAGCAGCACTCGAACACAGCGGGTCACGAACTACTTGCGGTTACACACACACACACACACATATATATA